GATATATATCAGTGGAAAATTATACTCAAAATCAGTAGAAATTTGGACTCATTCATATTCCCTTTGAAARCAGAACTTGAAAATGAATCGTTTTTTGATATACCATGTATTATCAATGATTGCACATACATTTTTTCTAGCCTCCTGCGCACTGGCATCACTAAGAATCACGGGCTTCCTGTATTTTTGAGGAGTCAAAAGAGGGAGAATGGGGGCGAGAAAAGGGTTTTTATTTTTCCTATCTCGTCAGTTCCTAACGGCCATTATGACTGTTACAAAGGAAGCCCAAAGGAGGAAAAAAGAGTTGCTTGTGGAGGAGGCTACATTTTATCTGATATGCAGTCACTTGTTTGATCCTCTCTGGCGACCATACTTCTTAACATTAAAACAACAGAATATTTTGATATGTTATGCAATAATGAAATAAATCAACTTCAATGATGTTATAATCTGCATTTTTCAGGATCCAACCAGGGGCTGGGCTAGACAAGAAACAATCAGATGCTGCCATGGTAACCATTGCTGAAGAAGATGATGTAATTGACGAGGACGAATTAAATAATACTAACGAAGACGTAGTAGGTGGTGATGATACAGAACGTGGTCCAAAGGAACATATACCAAAAGTCGAATTATTATTAGGGGACACTACTACCGAAGAACAAGGTATATATAATAAGTTTTAATCTATTAAAATACATTAATAATGATTAATGATGATATTTGCATTGTGAGGATTTATGTATTGCAGCTCTAAAAATACCAACAAAAAAAAATCTAAACAAAACTGTTCGCACTTGCGCTTTCAAAAATATCGCGCCTGCGACATCTTTATCCGCTATAAATATTGATACAGTGCTTTGCATTTTTCTTGCCAACCTTCTTTATAATGGCATTGCACAGTGCAACAGCTCCAGGCTGTCTTTTTTTGCGAGTAATTTATTGCATTTGAGCAACTTGTAGCGCTTTACTTTACATTACACCACCAAATTGCGCAATTTCTCGAAAGCGGCTATTTTTCATTACAATTTCCCAGCAACTTTATTCAAAACTACGTTTATAAATTGTCTGTCGATGTTTTCCCTTGCGACAAAGTGTTGTTGTTATCATAAAAGTCGTAAATCTACGTGTAGTTTTCTCTTTTACATTGTAACGAAAGTATTACTATGATCCACTTTTTGCAATTAGATTCGCTAAAAGAAATATCAAATTCAAAAAGATTATAATTCACTTTCTTAGTGAAGCATTCCAATAAGCCAGCCGTCTATGAAAAATAGACAATAAACAGCGTTCTTATCTCTGTCGTGTTCTATCTGACCGTGAGTTCCCTCCCAAAAGTTGCCATGAAAAAACTTTGAAAGCTTTGAATGGACTCAGCTTGCGGCCTTTAAGGGTTTTGTTTTTCAATTCATTACGAATGTTTTTTAGCTCGTATATATTGCAGGGGGCTGTCATCTTTTTAATTTATTTTGTCGCTCATTATTTTCGTTTATAKTAGACTTTCTCACGGGGCTAAATTCATCCATCAATTTTTTCCCAAATATTTTCATTGCCTTTTTTGCTAGCATTATTTGTGTCCTTTTGTAAATGATTGTATTTGTGACTTGGCTTTCATATGTTTTTCAAATATATGCCGTTGTTTAATAATAAATAAAGTCTAAAAATATGACAGACAACTTCGAAAACTAAGTTAAAAAATCTATAGTGCATTGAACAAAACAACACCGGCCGCGAAAAATATTACCGCGTAGAAAAAGACAAAAAGCTAAAGTTTGTATTATATTTTGTTAGACATCCTTTGATAGGATTTTATGTGTGCAGTCGGCAAGTTTTAATTATCTCTATTATATCAATACCCTGCAAAGTTCCTTCTGTAACTTCATGTCAATGAGTTTGAATGCTATTGGTTGGAGCTAYTTCTTCTCAGCAGTACTTCGCTCTATGACAATATATTGTATAGACTTCAAACTTCACCTTATAACAGTGGTACTTTGAAAGCTTTCTTTGTGCTACCCAAAGTAATCTCTCGCTCTTAAMRRCTTCATTCGSYTGGCTTTACCTCAACTCTTTCCTGTTGCGGAAGGAAAGCTGGAGAAATTCAAYCCAAGATGGCCGCCGATTTGAATACTTTYTCGCGTGTTCTAAATCTTTTGGAGTATAGTGAGAAAAAACGGTCAAACGTTCGTGATATCCGTGGCAACATAAAAAACTGCCGTCTGCCTAAAAGTATGTATAAATCAAGGTTGTATTTATTTTAAAGTGTTCAATTGTTGAATTTTATATTGACCTTAAGCTATTGCAACACCTTTTGAAATCTCTTCGTTTCATTATTTAACATTTTTCAACTTTGTTTGTTTACTAGTTCAAAGCCAAACAGAAATCTTTACTTTTGTTTTTTTACTACATTTATTAAGTTTCCTCTAGGTTTGGCAYATATTTAGTTATAATTTTAAGCAGTTGAGTTAAAATTGGCAMTGTTTCTATCAGTTCACCTGCAATAGCCCGACTTAATTGACTTCTGTAACATTTTCGGACTCTACAGTGTGAGCTGACTTGTTACCACGGCAACAATTCTAATTCTTGTCGACTTGAATTATCGAGAAAAATTCACCAAGACCGTTTTCTTTCTAGCTTCAAATGATTTAATGAAGAACTGTGTTCACAGAGCAACATATTAAGTCAAAACACGACAARTTTTACATTTTAAACTCAAGACTTAGAAGTCAAATCTAAGAGAAAGTTATTTAAGATTTATATAGCAGGACAAAACTTCACTAATTTCGAAACTTTTACAAGAGTATATCACCTTAAATTGCTTTTACTTTGAAATGGTCMAGTTGTTTTTAAAACTCCATGTATTTTAGTAAAGAAAAGTTGTYGAATAGAAACCGGAAAGTCCTTGGAAACAGAGCGTAGGAATTTGCAAGTGTTATTTTAAAACTCTAGGTACTTACGAGGTGCTAACGACTACTTGTGAGTGATGTCATAATCTCTAGTCTATATCCTACAAAAGGATTTTTTAAGCACAACAAAAAGCTCTAGATACAATTTAGGTCTCTCAAACGAAGAAAATGCCGACGAACTTGAAACTACCGCCGATTTTGCCAAAACAGAACCTTGTAAGCCAAGAGTCGAAGTCAAAAACTCAAAATCATGGATGTCTTAAATCAATGTACACTAGTACTTCAAAGCTTCACTACCAACAACCAACGCARTATCCAGGTTCTGTCCTTAGAGCTGTAGAAGCCTTCTTTAAAAGTAAGATTTTAAGTAGCTGAACTAAAGAWAATGCCGTATTTCTGGTGGTAAAGTGTTTTGAAATGTTTGGCGTACAAWTATAATTTCTTCGTCAATTCGAGATTTTTACTCCCGGTAAAGTCATACCGAATTATGCTAGTTTCGATTCTAAGTATATGAATAGACTATTTGCCACATTCTACAGTTAAAATTGTATATTTTTTCTCTAATTTCAGACTATTTATATTTCGGTTTTTTGAATTGTACCCAGTTTTATTTACGTGATATYTGGGAAAAATGCAAAAAAGTCGCCATCTTGGATTTCAAGACATTCATCAACTAACTTGACATATACTTATCACAAAGCCTTCAAATAAATCAAAAACTTTAATATTTTTGGCTGTTTTCTTGAATATTTCAGATAAAATTTGTGGTGAACAGCATCATTTATAAGTAGTTTCTGTTTAGATTTTCTTTATGACTTTGGAATGTAATTGTTTCCATAGAGACGGTTAGCGAAGTCTAAAACAATTCACTCCGTTAAATCGTTCCTTATGTACATTAGAAAGTCCTATTGATAGTTTGACGAATAGAGGGAATTGAATTTAACTTAAACAAGAGATTTCGATAAATTTCCAAGTAACTTGTTTCAGGCATACTTTTATATTTTTTCTTTAATTTGGTTGACAATGAGAGACCTATAAATTTGCTAATAACTAAAAGTTACAATCGCCCTTATTGTAGAATTGCCGCGAATTTTCAAATTCTCAGTAAAACCTTACTAGCGGCATACATATATCTGAGATATTTATCGCCATGACGACCATATAGTAAAAAAAAAAAAAAACAAACAAACAAACAAACCAACAAAAAACACGAAAAAGGCCGATATTTTTGTTTCCCATAAGCCAAGGTCCGTTCGAAAAACGTAGTCTGTCACTATACGGACCTACAAAAAACTGTTGAATAACTTAATCATTATTTCTTCGCTGTCTTCAAGAAGCAATAAGAACGCGCCACTCTGRCCCTAGGTTAACTAGAATTGATCTTTGAAGTTGCTGTTCCGAAGTCGGGTTGTTTGAGTCATCAACGTGCGGTAGTCCCGTCCCGTCCCCTCCCTTGTCAGTCAAAATTTAATTTCAACAGCTGTGTAAAAACATAAACTCTAACACCGTAAAAAAGAAGTTTGTTTCATCTACTTTTTTACGGTGTTAAAATTTATCTTTTTACACAACTGTTTTCTTAGGAACACCGTCACAGGTCACACTAGTTGAACCGCTAGTTTCCACCAAAATCTAATTCCTTCTATTTTCTTCCAGTTCAACAAAAACCTCCAGCTCCTGCTCAATCTCCACCGCAACAAACTCGATCCAGATCCCCTCTTTCACCCGCCAAAGCAACTGCTGTAAGCTACAGTGCTCTAGATCAGCCTGCCACTCCCGTGAGGACCCCTACTAGGAAAAAGACGGCGGACTCGGTTTCCAGGGAGCGAACTGTTGAAAAATCGATTGATGCTGGATCGAAGTTAAGTCCGACCGATCTATTTGACTTACCACGTACTCAAAGCAAGACGCAGATTGTGAAGGAGCCAGTTTCYCGTACAGAAAGCAGGTAATAAAGAATCAATGGATTTTTTCTTTGTACGCGACAAACAGTTAAATAACAGCTCTACTCCATAAGTGAGCCAGCGGGTATACATGTTGGATGAATGAACAATTGATACAAATGAAAAATCCTTTGCTGACGTTCCACCATGACGGACGCTTTAACGTATATTGCAAACGAAGAATTGTTTAAAAAAAAATTAAAAAAGTTTCTGGAAGCGAGTGAAATCTTCATTGTTGTTTTCGCTTTGATTTATAGATGCACAGTCCATGGCTCTAGAGGAGGGCAGGAATTGTGTTACCTCTGCCACCAGCGAGCAGAAAAGAACGTACCTGTCTATCTAAGTGAGGAAAGACGTCGTAAAGAAATGGAACAGGACCGTTTACTACAAGARTACCAACACCAAAAGGACGCWGAGGCCATCTTGGCTGAACAGGTAAGTWCGTCAAACAATGGTCAAGTAATCAAGAAACGTGAGGCTTGTTTCAAACGCTGAATTTCACATGTAGAGTGCACGCTACATAAGTGTGAAACAATTCTTAACTAATTAACTCCTAATAAGATTTAGTTATCAACTAACTAAGAATTTAGTGCGGYGTAAACAAAGACAAGTTTCCTTTCTGGCATTGTGTTCATGCCCCTTTTTTGGCGTACACTCAACAGTTTCAACATGTGATGGTAATRAGCAGAATCTTGCCTTGAATACGGCACATGTAATATTCGACATGTGAGACAAATTTGACATGTGTCAATCAATACTGATGAGAGTATAATGACCAGAATCAAAAGATTGGAGTATCTTGCATTGAATACGGTAGATAATGAGACAGAACCAGCCAGATGTGACATGTGTCAATCAATGCAAATGAAATGAAATTCGACTCGTGTGAGATTCGTCGTTTGAAAGCGGTCATCACGTACCGATGTCCACATGTAGGAGTAGGTTCATATAACGCAAAAAAATAACAAACCATCTCGATTTTTAACAGAACAAGAACATGGAGAATCGTCGGTACAACCAGAAAGTTGCTGCCTTCAATCTTGGTGCCGCTGAAGCAGTGAAGGTTAGTAAATATAAAGATCCAGCTTCCTTTTTCATCTCACCCCTTAGATCTGCCACGAAGACTAAGTGCTATTTGACATGATTGTATTGACTTACATATTATGTAATGGTATTCATGACAATTTTACACTTTTAACCTGCAAGTAGCAATGAGCTTGTTTCGRCAGGTTAAAAGGTTTAAACCTTACAATCACCAGACAGATCTTTTAATAATTCACAATTACAAAGTTCGCCAAATTTATACTCAGTATTAATGTTTTTATTTTTGTTGTTAATTTCAGGATAAGAATAATGCACGGCCAACTGACTTTTCTGTGAGTAGCGAATTTATTACCCATAATGCATCTGATTTTCTTACCCATAATGMTGCTGTGACTAACTACCCATAATGCATMTGTAGTTCGTTACCCATAATGCATCTGTTGTTTATTTTCAGAGATCYTATTTGTTTCAAAACCGTGCTCTGACGCCTCCACGCTTCATACAACAAAAAGCGTATTCAGAAAACTTAAAAGGCCAGGTAAATACTGTTCAAAAACAATTATGACACAACTCAATCGTCTGCTCGGGAACAGTCAGTCACAGTTTTTTCAATTCGTTCAAATTCGATAATCGTCAAATGATCGGCCTTGGGGTGATGGAAGGAATCCACTTAAAGGAATTACATCATTTTTATGGGAATCATGAACATTTCWTTCTAGTGCGTAGGAAAAATGGAATTAAACTTCTGTAGGGATATCTCAGTATTTCCTTGTCTYCTTCTTTTACATCCCCATTTTCCATGAAAATTGCTGAAATCCAGATGAAGAAAACCTGAATAATGCTGAGACAGAACTGAAAGAAAATGTAGTAAAAGATAATCAAAAAAGTTTGCATTCAATTGTATTTTTTTTTCGGGTTATGTGTCGAATGCACGAGCTTCCATGCAGATTTTAGAGAACGCGAGATCCTATCCTAATTTCGGGATTTAATCTTATTTTTATGTAATTGTATAGGTTACAGCCAAGAGTCAAAAGCTAAGTCGTCTTGCGCGAGAACAGGAATTTCTTGACAGATTGGAGCAAATACAGCTAGCGGAGGAGTATGTGTTTTGTCTAAGTCTATTCCTGTGTACTTAATACTCCGTTTCATATTCTTATCTTGCTAGAGCAAACGCAGGAAAACCATGAAATAAAATCAAACTAAATACTAACAAATATTTAGAGACAATTTGTCAGTATCATTGAACCAGAACACAATGAGGATGAATCCACATGGGATCATTTTTCATTCATCTTCATTGTGTTCTGGCTCATTGATACTGACAAATTGTCTTTAAATAACTGCTATTTGTTAGTATTTAGTTTGATTTTATTTCATGGTTTTCCTGCGTTTGCTCTAGTCTTATCTTCCGACTTTTTTTGTTATTTTTATTTATTTATTTTATTTTGTTGTTTTAGCCTTGCTCTTCAAAGAGAGCAATATCTCCGAGAGAAGAAAATCACAAGCGATCTTTACAAGAAAGCTTTAGACACACAGGTATGAGCCATGAGTAATTTCAAAATTACAGGATAGACGAGTTATTTTTACTATAGTGTAATATTTAACAATTAGACCTCGAGTCCTTGAGGTCGAGTGGATTATG